CCTACTGGATATTCCTATCCGGCTGGTCTTTTTGGTCCGTAGTTCACTTAGAGGAACATTTCTCTTCCCTGTTACAGACATGGTGGCATCTCCATCCTTGGGCTCATCAGAACTTGAACTGTCTGCAGGGATGGACCTGCTTGGAACAGAGACATCCAGAGGTCCCTTCCTACTCAACCTACCCAGGATGTATTAAAGATAAGAACATCACCGTGGTCTCAAGACCAYGCACCACAAATAGCTGGGAACCACCAAAGCACCTGGAGAGATACATCCTCATGGGTTCAGTCTGTTCCTATGGTCTTTCGAGCACACCTCTCATGGGATACGAAGCTTGCATCTTTGCTCCTCTCTCGGTTCTTGCTTTGTTAATAGAGGATCCACTTGCGGTGGCAGCAGCAGCGAGAGAGAGGGCCTGTGACTAACACGTTGGCTGGAGGTGCTTCCCTGCAAGCCCGTCCTAGGACACAGCCCAAGTGTTTAACGACTCTTTGGTTACTGCTCTGACTTTCTTGGACCGAAGCAACATGTCAGCTGCACTTAATTACCAACAAAGACTCCCTTTTAAATAAAGGAAAAAAAACCACCTTGGGAAAGAGCCAAGAGCCAGTCACTCGGCATTGCTAACTGTGCCTGGCACGTCACCGCTGCGCTGGGGAGGAGGCCGGAGGTGGCTTGGGACACTTCTCCTGCTGCTCCGTGGCCCTTGGAAGCCCGGCACCATCAGGAAGAGAGGGCGGCACCAGCGGGCCCTATGGAAGCAGCTCCCAGCAGGAAAGCGCATGGAAATAATGGGGCTGTGCAGGAGCAGGATGGGGGTGACAGCAGCAGAGGGTCCCCGCAAAGACSCTGGGTGAGGATGAGGAGCACAGGCCCTACCTGGGGAGCCTGGAGCTCCTCATGAAGAGCCTCTCCAGCAGTTCTGCCCTGCTCCTGCAGGGATCCAGGTGCCAAGAGCTCCTGTCCAGGACAGCGGGAACGGGTGTTTTGCAAGGGCGCTGCTTTGGGGTGCCCAGACCCCAAAGCACCCCAAAACCCTTCCCCATAGCATCAAATAGCGAGCGCCCCATTGCAGCACCCTGTTCCGTACCCCCTCCAGCAGCACGAGCCGCCCGRAGGCTTGGCCTCCGCTTCCTCCTCTCCTCCGCGGGGAGGCCGGCGTCACGAGGGGGTTTCGGTCACGGAAGCGTCACAGGAAGCGGCTGATTGCAGGAGCTGGCGTCCGAGGGCAGGTCACCGAGGAACAAACCACCCCCATGAGCTGGGGACGTGCTGGGGAGCAGGTAGCAAAAAAGAAAAAAAAAAAAAAGCAAAAAAAAAAGTCATTTTAACGTTTACTTTTCCCACCTTGCTCCTAGAAAGGAGGCAGCACAGTAGGGAAGAGATTTCCAGCTTGCATCTCACTTTGTATCTCATCTCACCTTTTATTCCTCTCCTTTCTCCTCTTCTCCAGTGCAAATACTGAGTGGAGGACGCCAGGAAACGGAGCTCTTTGGCCAGCTGCAGCACACAGCCAAGGGATTGCGGAGCTGCTTTGTGGTTAGCAAGAAATAAACCCAGAAACAGCCGCACTCGGTTCCGTCCCTGTGCACTTAGGCGCAGCCAGCAGCCCCCAGGACTCGCTCGTCATGCTCCCAAGCAGGCGGCGGTCATGGTCCGAGCTCTGTTAAACATTTACACCAGGTAAATGCAGGCGCGTCCCTCGGCTGCAGCGGCCCCAGCTCCCACCCAGGCTTTCACAAGCACCAAGGAGCTCGAGGCGGGGGGAAAAGGGACAACTTGGTGCTTCATTTTGGTGTCCGAGCCTCAATTGCACACAGCACTGCCCGGGCCATAGGGAGAGCTCGGAGCAGACCTTGCGCTGGATTTTCCCCCCCTGCTCCTTTAGAGCCAGCCAGGAGAAGGAAAAAGGGCCGATTGTGCGGCAGACTGCGGAGATAAATGCGGAAAAACCTGAAAAGGCTGTTCCTAGCCCTGCCAAGGAGCGGAGCCCGGCTCCGCGCCGGCGGCCAGCGGGAAGCTCCGGGGCTGCCGCCGGAGCGGCCGCGCCGCAGCCTCCAGCCGCCGCTACCAGCGGCGCGTTTCCACAGCAAAACTTGCCTTTTTTGGTCCTGGAGGAGTCCACCCATAGCGGGGGCGGGGGGCCGGAAATCTGCTTTTCTGCTATGGAAAAGGGAGCATCTCCGGACAGACGGAGACCTGGGAGGGCTGCAGCCCCACACCGGAGTAGAGGGGCTCCTGCTGCTCCGGAGCCCCTCGGTGTATTTATGGGCCAAGGCGGCAGGGGAAGAGGGAGCTCCGGTGCGGGAGAGCCCGGGGCTCCCTGCTTTCCGTGCAGGAAGCAGCTCCCGCGGGCGCTTCGTGACAAACCCAGCCCGGAACGCGGCCACTGTTTTCCTTCCATCTTTATTTTAACCATCAGATAAAAACAGAACCACTTTTAAAAAAAAAAAAAAAGAAAAAGAGAAAAAAAGAGAGTCATTACAATGCGATTATAAAGTGCATCTTTTTCCTTTCCACTTGAGTGTTGTGTACAAAACAGAACAAAACATCCTTTAAAAACAGACACGCAGAAAAGCCCCCGCAAGGCGCTTGCGGGCGCAGAGGGAGGGGAGCAGCCCCTCACTTCTGCGTTCACATTAGCAATGGAAAAGGAGGGGTGGGGGAAAAAAAGGCCACAAGCAGTAACATTAAACCACTAATGGTCAGCCAGTCGGCTCCAAGCCCGTCTTTCACGCACATTATTGCTCTTCTAGCTCGTCTGTCCTTGCTCTTCTTGCTCTTCTAGCTCACTTGTCCTTGCTCTTCTTGCTCTCCTAGCTCACCTATCCTTGCTCTTCTGTCCCTTCCCTTGCCCCAGCACACTGCTCCCACGTCCTGCACACACGCAAGCCCCGGGAGGGGACACCACCATGCACGGCACCCTGCGCCCACGTGCCTTCCCCACATCCACAGCCCACACCTCCGCTCCCAGCTGGAATCACCACACGGCAAGCCTGAGACCGGGATCACACTTGGCAGCTCCARGGCCGGCCAAGGGCCCCTGGAGTGGGAGCCTATGGGGAGATGCAGCTCGGGAGGGCTGGTCCAGCAGCAGCACGGTGATAAAACCGTCCAGCACAGTGATAAAACGGGCAACGTTGGGATGTGAGAGGGAGCGAGACCCTCCAGCCTCCCACGGCTATCTCTGCACGAGGGCAGGGCAGCTTGCCAGTGTTGGCACACGGGAGTCTCCAGAATTAAAAGCCAAGTTTAAAAGTTGAGCAGTCCAGTACTTTGCTTCTCTCCAAGCCTCTCCAGAGGCGACTACCAGGACCTCCCCCAAAATATATTCATCTAAAGCTTAGGCATTAAAGCACAATACATTCTCTTGACCTGTTTCTACAAGCTATTTGCCCTCTGAGCAYGGGAACAGGCTCCCCTGCTCAGCTAGCACGTGAGGAGCTTGGAGAGCAACAAGCAACCAGTGCTGGTAGGGCACACGCCACCGCGCTCGGGTCTTCTCCTGCCACAGGAGAGAGCAAGACCCTGCTTTGCCGTTTTGGGGAAAAAAACGGCACTTTCAGGACCCAGAAAGGCCAACAGCCAATTTGGATGGGGAATGAGGGAGGGAAAAGGTATCATCAGTCACTCAGGTTTATAAAACGGGAAGGTCCTGCAGGAAACAGTCCATGCTGTGAGCCCACAGCTGTTGGGAGYGCCGCACGGCTCTATTTTTAGGTGCCGCCACCATGGGATACGGTGAGAGCCCTTCAGGCTTAGCTGATAAAAGAACCAGCGACTCTACATTCCCCCTGGCAGGGGGGCACGGAGGTCTCCTCATCCAGCAGRGTGACATTCCCCACCGTGGTTGCACTTTCATCTCCAAAAAAAGAGAAAAAAAGAAAAAAAAAACAAAAAAACACAAGAAAACCCCAACCTCTCGAGCAGAGAGGCTCCCGTGCTACGAGGACGGGGGCGAGACGAGGACTCGCTCCCCTCCAAACCAAGCGGTCCATAAGCTACGTTTCCCGAGGGGCCCAGCTCAGCTTTGCAGGAGGAACCCGCCACGCAGCTCGCCAAAAAAACACTAGAAAAACACTTGGAAAAAAGAATTAGACACTAGCAAGCAACACCCCAAGCACCCACCACTAACATAGCTTATACGGCCGAGCCAAGCGCCGCGTTTCTCTGGAGACCAGCAGCTCCACAGAAGGACTAGCGGCCAACGGAGCGGCGCCGACGCCTCCGGGCACCGGGAGCGCCGTGGGTTGACTTAAGGCGGGGTTGACTTCAGGTTGACTTAAGCCCAAGGAGGCCTCCGGCACCCATCTCCTCTGGTTGGGAAGGTCCATGAAGCGTCACCTCTTCCATGACCTCTTCCACATGTGGCGCCCCTCGCGCCAGGCCCGAGCGGGCGCCGGCAGTTCGTCCGGGAGGACGCGGCGCCCCACGTCAGTAGTAGGGGCCGAGCTTCTCGTAGCCCGAGTAGCTGGGCCACTCGGCGAAGAGGCCGTAGGAGCAGCGCGGGCTGCCGAACTGGTCCAAGGCGCCGGCCCAGTCGGGGCCGGCCGGCGGGCGCGCCGCCTCGCGGGCCCACTTGAGCCCGGCGCGCGTGATGCGGTAGTTGGCGCCCCCGTTGCTGTCCCAGTACTCCCGCCCGCCGCACTCGAAGGAGACGGCGAACTCCACGCGCTCGTGGGGCGGGATGCCCTCGGGCAGGCTGATGTCGAAGGAGAAGGTGTCCCAGGCCGAGCCCTCGTACACGTCCCTGACGTAGTGGCACGGGTAGTCCGTGAAGGTCTTCCAGGTGTCGAACGTCATCCTGACGCGGACGGCCTTCTCGAAGGCCAGGTTGCGCACCTTGACGGTGCCGGCCACGGAGCGCTCCCGCAGCRCGCAGCTCTCCAGGCACACGCAGTCGGCCTGCAGGCGGCTCCGGAAGGCCAGGTAGTCCGAGGAGGGCTGCGCGAAGTCCAGCACGAAGCTGTCCCTCTCGGCCGCCGCCAGCCCCGCGAGGCTCTCCAGGAGCTCCGCCACGCCGAGCGGCAGCTCCAGCGGCTCGTCGAACTCCGAGAAGACCTTCACCATGGTGAGGGCGAAGCCCCGGCTGTCGGCGAACGACACCCTCTTCTTGGCCTTGCCGCGGGCCGGCGCGCCGGGCGCCGTCCCGCCGCCTCCCGGCTGGATGCAGGGCCGGAGCGGCTTGGGGGGCGCYGGCGCCGCCTTGCACGCGCCCCGCTTCTCCCTGCGCAGCGGCGAGGGGCACACGTAGAGCTGCATGGCCACGTCCACGGCCATGGCTTGCTGGTGGGGRAAGTAGTCCAGCACCCTGCAAGAGAACGGGCGGCGTCAGCAACCCCGCTTGGGGGGACGTCGCCTCCTCCCCACTCACAGCAGCGGGGTTTGCACCACGAGTCCCCGGAGCTCCACCACAGGCGGGCGTTGCATGGTCAGAAGGTCATTGCGTCCTTCACAAAAACCCCAGACCACTTCCCACCACAGCAGGGCCACAGTCCCCTCGCGAGCTGGCTGTGACCCGCAGCAAGAGCCGCGGCCGGGTCAGGCTGTGCAGCCAGGGCAGGGATCAGGACAGGTCCCAGCGTTACCCAACGCGGTGTTTCTGCCACGGCTTTCTCCCTCCAGCGGGGACCGTCCCCACGCCTCGGACAGCTTTGTAGGAACAGGAACCCATTTCGTCACCAGCGGCTCTACGCAAGCGACCTCTGGGAGGCCGAGGAAGCCCCAGTCCTCGGGGTGAGCTGYGGGTCAGCTCTGCCCTGCACGTCCCACCTGTGGGGCAGGCCTCGCTCCCCAAACCTCTGCTACGACCATGGGCTCASACCAGCAAACCCGCTCCCCTACCCAAGCTCCACCCAGGCTTGGAGGCTGCTTTTGAGCTGAGCTTTTGAGTTGAGGACTGCGTTGTCCAGTCCACCATGGAGAGGAGGAGCAGCATTCCCCCCCTAGCATCAACCCACACCACCAGGAAGGGGGCAGTCCCCTCTCCGGACACCAGCTCTAGGGCAGCTTCCAGCATCCCAGTGGCTGGAGTCTGGAGATGCAGCTAGGACATCCCGCTCGCTGTTCCCTTCCTTACTTTGCGGTTGGATGGGATGCTCTCAGTGGGGGCCCACGCTCCAGATGAGCCGCAGGACGCAGGTTTATTGCGTCCCCATCCACCTCAAGGTGTCCTTAAGTCCTCCCCGCTGGCTGCGGCTCGCGCTCCAAAGGCCGGAGCATCGACTGGTGGCCGCGGGCCCCGTGACGCAGCAGCGCTCCGGCTGCCCGAGCCCTGCRCGGCCGGGACCTTGCGCCACGGTGGGGACGGTCACGGAGCCCTTCCCGGCCGGCACCACCCGGAGAAGCTGCTCGTTCCTGCAGGACGCGGCCGCCCAGCCCCAGCTCCTGYGGAGCCTCTGGAGCTCGGGGGGAACGAGCTCCGTGGGCTCCCACTGGACACGGAGAGGCTCTGCACAGCTATGGAGGCTGCTTCCTCCTTCCTCCTCCTCTGGAGGAGAGAGGCTGGGCTCCTTCTGCAGCCTCAGCCCTGCACAAGGGGACGTCCCTGCTGCCTCTCCCCATTCCCAACAAGGAGCTCGGAGCCGGAGAACCCCCCACAAGTACCCAGAGCCCCAGCAACAGTTTTTACACAGCCTCCCCACCCAKCTCCCGCAGGGGAGCAGCCCCGGGACCGGCTGCCAGGACCTTGTGGGTCCTCCTCGCTCGGCCACCTCACCGGCTCCCCAAATCCAGGCTCTCCGGGCTTCCGTTCTTGGAAGCCAGGAGCAGCGGGGAGCGCCAGGGGCAACCCGGCTTCCCCCCCACAGCTGGCCTCGGCCACGGCTCCCGCACCGTGCCCGCGGGAAGGAGCGCAGGGACACCCCAACAACCCACCGCAGCCCCCAGCAGCCCGGCCGGGGCGCTGGAAAACGGGGGGCCAGGCGCCAAGCAGGGGGACCCCGCACCCCGCCGGGACCCGGCGCCGCCACCACCGACCGCGGCGAGCCGGGCAAAGCGGCGCAGGGAAAGGGACCCGCTGCAGAGGGGCCCGCTGCAGAGGGGCCCGGCCATGGGGGGGTCCTGGGAAAGGGGGATCCCCGGGAATGGGGGCGCTCCGTACCTGGCGCAGTGCATGAGCCCGCCGGCCGCTGCCGCCGCCGCCGCCGCCGCCGCCGCCTTAAGAGCCGCCGCCGCCGCGCGCCG